AGACTGAAACGCAAAACGCTATTTGGGCCAACACCTGGTTAGTCTCGGGGGCGGACAGACCTCCTGTCCTGACGCGTCGATTAAGGAAGTGGCCGTTTTCGGTTCGCGAGAGGGCGTCGCGGCCGTCATTTTTGCGGGTCCAGGTCCGTCGGTTTCGGTCCCAGGCCGTTTTCACTAAGGGGAGGTTTACTGAAGGGAGGTTTGTCCACCGCCGAGCTTTGGCTACAAGAAGGCTGAAACGCAAAACGCTATTTGGGCCAACACCTGGTTAGTCGCCCCTGCGACCTTCCCTCATGACTCATGCAGCAGTTTATGTTGGCAGTCGTTTGCCGTACAGGACCCCATGCCGGATATCATCACGTTGAATCGACGCCATGATGCCGTCTTGGCCATATCGGTCCCGATACGACCGTGAATCGATCGCGGGGAGTATATCGCAAGCCAAATGCTCATGTCCTTCACCGCCCTTCCCCCATCGCCCATCCCAACTCGCCTTCTCCCCTTGCCTCTCCCCTCTCATGCCCCCTCCTCTCCCCCCCTTGCGGCCAGGCTGCCCCGGGAGCGCACCCAGAATTGCTGTGCCGCATCAACCCGTCGCCGCCGTGGCCGCGGTGACCGCCGTGGCCGCGCCGGCGGTGGGCGAGGGGTGCGGAAGCGAGCGGGGGAGGTGTTCAGGGTCAACGCTGGGGGGGATAAGGCTTAGGGGATGAAGGCTGTGGGCTTAGGGGAGGTTCGATGCTTGCGTATGTTTTCGTAGGGTCTCGGCGGTTGTCCAGTCTCTGGGTGCTTTCAGCAGCTGCGCCTCGCCGAGACCATTCTTGGGCTGTCCAGATCGTCCCGAACAGCCGCCAGAGGGCAGCGATACGACTCGAAAACCATCACGGGATAGGATGTATCGATTCTTGATCGCCCGTTGATCCCCAATAGGGGCCCGATAGCTGGCCTCGCCCAGCGTTGGGATTGGGCTATCGCCGATCAATCGGGGGCGTATCGGAAAATCCAGGTCGATGTTACCCCCCCCCCTTGAGCCGGTCCCCCCCCTTATGTTGCGCCTTAGGGTGTGGGCAGGTCGGGGGACGCCATTCATACACCACCCTTCCTTTCCAGGCCCAACTTGGGCCCAGGATTGGCAGAAAGTCGAGCATCTGATTAAGAAGCCTCCTCCCAGCGGCACGCCTCGAGGGGCAACCAATGGGACACAAGGCTTGCCTCGCGTGGTCTCTCTGCAACGAAGGAAGAAAAAACAACGCGTCGCGCTCTCGCCGCCTGGGCCGTCGGATCTCAGGGTAACACCCCGCTGGCTCGCTCGCTCGCTCGTGCCGTAGGCTGTGGTGGCCCATGTGCGTGCAGATTGGCACGTCAACGATGGAACGAATCTGGCGCACTTCGTGTCGCCATGAGGAGGCGCCACTCACGGCATCCTGAAGCCGGCTGCTGCCCCCAGCCAGACGGACTGCGTCGGGCAACACTTTTCGGACCCTGTCGAGTCCCTCCTTCAGCTTCTACTGCTCCCGTACATGGACATTACGTTTGAGCCCTGTGCCCCAAGATGCCCCCCGGGACCCCCCGAAATTAACATTGATGGCGTGGCGACGGCGGGGGCGTGAGTGGACAGACGCATCCGACCCCCCAGAGCACCGCCTCTGGTGAGATCAACCTCGATGTCGGGGGCGTGGGGGTGATTCGGACTCTCCCTCGAGTGCGTCAGGGTTCGAATATGCACGCTGGCTGTTGAGAGTAGGTCTTCTGGGATCCCAGATGTCTATCTGCCTTGAGGCGCCTTCCTTCTTCCATGATCGAGTGGCTCCGCCTCTTCCGTCCTCCCTGGGCGGCGGACGGAACCCCATCTATATACCTTCGGCGCCCTCCTGCCTCCTGCTCCTGCCTGCCTCTCCTGCGACCGATGGGTACTCTCTACACCTGCTGCCCCCCACTCCTCCCCCTCCTCCTCCCCCTCCTCCTCCTCCTCCTCCTCCTCCTCCTCCTCCTCCTCCTCCTCCTCCTCCTCCTCCTCCTCCTCCTTCGGCCCAAACGCGGCCGAGGCCCTGCCCACGGGGCCTCGCCGGCGTGCGCGGCGGGGCCCGCCGCGCCGCGCGCCCCCGCCCTCCCCCCCCCCCGTGGGCGCCCGGCTCCGGGCGCGCGCGCAGCGGGGCCGGCCATGCGCCCCATGATGCTCGACGAGGAGGTGGACAGCAGCCAGTCCTTCTCGCTGATCGGGGAGCAGACAGTGGCACGATCGATTAGACGCAAGAGTGACCTTTCGCCGGAGTGACCTTTGGTGCGGGCACAGATGGGCCCCCAGATGGCTGGAAACGGAGCAGGAGCAGCGGCTCGCGCGCCCAGGTTTGGCCTCCCCGCGGCCCCCAAAAAGCCGCGCACCAAAGGTCACTCCTACCCAGGGTCACTCTTGCGTGTAGCCGACATGAGCAGGTGTCCGTTTTCCTGTTCACGGTTTTGCCGATCTGCGCGGGCCCTCGCACCCGCCCTCCCCCCCCCACCCCCCCCGAGTAGATCCATCGGCTGTTTTGGGCGCCTCTTGCAAGCAGGTGGAGTCTCCCCCATGGGACGCACGCGTGGCCAGAACCCCCCACCTGCCCAATGTCGAAACGCAAAATATGAAAACGTGTACCATACAGTGGAAACCCATGCCAAGAGACACCCTGCTTGCCTCCAGGGTGCCTTGGGTTTCTCGGGTTTCGATAGATTTGTGATGGAAGGCGTGACGTTCCCACACCAAACATCGATGGACATCCCAGGGTTTCAGGGTTGGGTTTCTTGTGCAAGGTTTCTTGTGGTCGAGCTCCTGCTGTAAACGCAAACTTTCGGAAGGCCGCGCGGATGTTTTGGATCGGCGCTGACCCCCCTGGGCGGCGCCTTTGGCGCCGCCCTGGCGCGCTCCGCGCGCCAGAGAGGGGGGGTCCAGCGCCGATCCAAGAACTCCGCGCGGACTTCCGAAAGCTTCTGCTTCTGCCATTCTTTGCTGCCCGAGCGGAACTGGTCCATCGACGGGTCCGGCACCATGCGCCACAAGCCCACGGGCATGACGGCGCGGCGCATCCGCACAGGGGGGGGAGGGGGGGGGGAAGAGGAAGAGAGGAACGAGGGCGCGTGAGAGAGAAACAGAGGAAGAGGAGGGAGGGAAAAGGAAGAGAGGAACGAGGAACCGGCGCATCTGAACGTGTCGATGCCGATTGAGTATGAGAAGAGAGGAGCGCAGGGCGCGTGAGGGCACGGTGCCAAAGGCGCTGACCCACGGGGCGGAGGTCCCCACCCCAACGATCCATTGGGGACTGTTCGACCGAGGAGGAGGAGGAGGAGGAGGAGGAGGAGGAGGAGGAGGAGGAGGAGGAGGAGGAGGAGGAGGAGGAGGAGGAGGAGAGACTCGCACTGGACAGGGACAGACTCAGACCCGATCAGAGGAGACGACGGACGGGGTCCGCCTCGGCCTCCTCTTGCGCCTTCCCCCCGATTGAGGTGTCGCCTGAGACGGGCATCTCCATCCCGGGCGCAGAGGTCAAGCTCGGCCCGCAGGACATAGAGGCCGAGGGGAGGAGGCGGCGGAAGAGGAGGCGGGAGAGGTGGGCGGTGAGAGGAGGAGGGAAGATGAGGAGGATGATGAAGGAGATGAGGAGGAGGATGTGGAGGACTGGAGTAAATCAAGGATGCAGCAAGGAGGGTGCAATACACCCTCCCGTCCTAATTCCGCTCCATATTTGTCGCTACAGGCATTCTTGTCACTGCGCCAAGCGACACCCTTGAAAGACGAGCTCTCCATGGGCCTGAAATTCAGGCGAATGCTTCATTTTGAATGAAACCACCCTCCACCCTTCGTAGATATAAGGCATGCGACGAGATAATGTTTTAAACATTGCAGGAAGCGCGCGGCGACACCCCGCTTTGAAATGGAACCGCCCTGTGTCCGCGTAGTTGTCGCACAAATGCACCTTCTGGTCATAAAGTCTAGCGGAGTCCCGGGTGAGAGCCCCATTCTGGACAGAAGCCGTTCTCCGTCCTTGGAGTTGTTGTGCAATTTTGCACTTGTTGCAACATGTGTCGTGGAAGTCTCAGGCGAGAGTTCCACTTGGAATTCTGTTTCAAACGAAAGGGCGAGGCGCCACGGGGAGAGCCAGATGTTGACAAGACACCGCCCTCCAGCCGCGCAACTGTCGACATGTCAGACTGCGGTGTAGCAGAGTGTGGGAGCTCTCGGCGCGAGAGTGCCCTGCCCGGCCTTTCGGACACGTCTGGTAGTGCGGCAGGGGGCGGCTAACTTTACCAAATCGAAACATATGTCTGCCCAAGTGTTGGCATCACCTCACCTCGATGTCGATCTCAAGGATTCCCTCAGTTTCTGCAAGCACGTCCCCAAGATTTAAGGAGGGGAGAAACACACAGACACAATGAATCGTCGATTCTCCAGAAAATATGGGAAAGTATGGGAAGTTGAGGGGGAGACAACAACCTAGAAAATATGGAACAAAATTGGGAATCCTGTTATTTGTGTGTACTTTTTTGTGTGTCCCAGGGCCCCTTCAAAGATTGTCCTCGCTCTTTGCTCGCCCATGCCAGGGGCAGGGACAAGTTCGAGGCTGGCTATGCTTACGTGCGAGAGTGACCCTTCGCCAGAGTGGCCACGTGTGAGAGTGACCCTTCGCCAGAGGAGGAGGAGGGGAGGAGCAGGAAGAGGAGGGGGAGGAGGAGGCGGAGGAGGAGAAAAGGAGAAAGAGGAGGAGGAGGAGGAGGAGGAGGGGAGGAGGAGGAGGAGGAGAGGAGGAGGAGGAGGAGGAGGATGGAGGAGGTGGAGGAGGAGGAGGAGGAGGGAGGCGGAGGAGGAGGGGGGGGACGCGGAGGAGGAGGAGGAGGAGCTGTTTACCTGGAAAGGGAGGAAGTAGGACGAGGAGGAGATGGTAAAGGTCGAGATCGACTCCCGGCTGGGCGCTGGCGCGGGCGGCGTGGTGCAGAAGGGCAGGATCAAGCAGACCGGGGTGCCTGTCGCGATCAAGGTCATCAGAGTGGACGACAAGGCCAGGTAGATTCAGCGCGCATTGGCCTTGCACCTCTGAGAGGATTCGGCGGCAGGAGGAGGGAAGGATTAGTGAGCTATAGGGGAAATCGCGAGGAGGCAGGAGGCAGGGCGAATGGGAGGGAGGGGGAGAGAGAGAGAGAGACATATACACAGAGCGAGAGAGAGAGAGAGAGACATAGAGAGCGACAGAGGCAGAGAGACAGAGAGACAGGGAGAGAGAGAGAGAGAGAGAGAGAGAGAGAACAAAAAGGCAGAAATACAGACAGATAAAGAGACAGATATGCAGAGAGATAAAGAGAGAGAGAGAGAGAGAGTGGGAGACAGAGAGAGAGAGAGAGCGAGAGACGGAGGGACAGAGGGAGAGGAAGAGAGAGAGAGAGAGAGATCGAGAGAGAGAGAGAGAAATGAGGGGGAGCAAGACGAAGAAGAAACAAAAGCAGAAGCAGCAGCAGCAGCAGCAGCAGCAGCAGCAGCTTCACTGATGTTCTGTTGGGGTTCTGAAGGTGTTGAGGAGTCGTGGCGGCCTGGGAGCGGCTTCTGACGATTCCGAAGTGGACTGAGGGCGAGCAAAGGGGGGACGCGTCCCCGCCCAGTCGCTGCAAGCAAGTATCGAGGACGCCGTCGGCGAGTCACTGCCGCCCCCTTGCCTTCTGCAGGCGCCTATGCCGTGAAGAATCGAGCGACGGTGCGGCCATGCCTCGGCGAAGCCACTGGGGAAACCTTGGGAAGCGGCCCTCCAGGCTCATCACGGGGCCCTTCTCGGGCCACTCGTCTGGGCCGCCCTGGTGGGTGCCTTTGGGGACTCTCTCGCGTGCCAGCTTGGAGCTCTCTTTTGGCTCTCTTAGGGTGTTCGGGCCGTCTGGCGCCTTTGGACCGTCTGGAGAAAGTCTTGTGGGCCTGTCTAGATCGTCTAAGGGGACCTCGTGGGCACTTTCGGTCTGTCTTATGTCTCCCTGGGCCGTCTCGGGACCCTCTCGGACTGTCCTGGGGTTGCCTTGGGGCCGTCTCGGGGCCACCTGGGGCCGTCTTGGGGGCGCCTCCTGTAGAGGGCAAGAAATTGACCCCCACAATAAGCACCCCGACAAGCGAGGAGGCCATTTAGTACACGCGCCCAGAGAAGGAATCAAACAGGACAGGGCGGTTCAGTAAACGCCCAGGGCCGTTTAGTAAACGCAGATTGTCGGGTCCGGGTATTTTTTTTTCTCCCTTGATTTTGGGCCGTCTCCGGTGAGTTCGGCGGCGAGCGAGGGGGGGAAGTGAGAAGGAGAAGGCCTTCTCAAAAGGCGGCGGGACTTCTCAGAAGCCCTCGCGCCTTCTGAGAGGTTTTCTGTTTCTCTGGGGAAGGTCTAGAAAACTTGCTAGAAGGCCGGGGAACCTCCGAGCCTTCTGAGAAGGCCTGCCCCCTCTCGCTTCTCGGGCCGGACGTAAGGGGGGGATTGGGAACGGGGGGCTACGAAATCTGCTGCATGCAGCTGGTTTCAGCCCCACCGAGGGGCCCATTCCTCGATACATAGCCGCCTCCCGGCGCCGGGAGGCGCCGGGAAAATCAGCCACGTGAGCTGATTCTCCCCCCCCCCCCTTTGCTATCCCCCCCCTTTCGCCCGACCCGAACTTCCCCCCTGGGCGCGCCGCCTGAGAGTGTCTGGGGCCGCTCTGCAGTCCTGCAGCCGCTGCCGCCGCTCCGCCCGCCTCTGGCCAGGAGAGCCTGGGCCGCCTCGCGCCGGCGTGGCGGCCCGCCCACTCTGAGCTCCCCGCCTCCCCGCGGCCCCCTTCTCCGCGGCCGCCCTCGCCTGCCGCCCCTGCTTTCAAGCAGTGGCGAAGCGTCCTGGCTCGCCCATAGCCCTACCGACTAATGGTCTAAGAACCTTTCGTGGTTTCCACGAAATGTTCTTAGAGCACTTCTGGCGGATATGGTTTTGTTTTAGCACATTGGGTTAATGTTCTAAGAACATTGCTTTTGTTATAAGAACATGTTTGGGTTCTAAGAACATTTCGTGGTAGGACTATAGGAAAGCCGGGACGGTCGGTCCCTGCTCAATGCTCCGGGTACAGCCAGGACCCTAGGTAAGGGGACACGATTATTTGTAGGGCCCCGGAGCCCCTAAATTGGCCAGGATCACTAAGCTAGGTCTGCCGTAGATGGCTGGTGTTTTTTTCGGGTGACGGCATTTCTGGTTAGTGGAACGGGGCGGGGGGGCGTCCCCCAGTACACATCACTAAACCAGGTCCCACTAAACCCAGTTCTGCCAACCCCCGACTGCTGTGGTGCAGGACTTGTCGTCTTGCAGCCCGGCCGTAAGTTGGGCATGTCCCTCTACAGGAGGAATGTTCAAAAACAGTGAAAAAACATACGGGGACGATTCTTCTACTTTTTTTTTGGGGGGGGGGGGGGTATTTTTTGATTTCCTTGCGTTCAAAATCCGCCTGTAGGAGGACATGCCCGACCCACGCCCAGCTTCGGCTCTCATCGCGCCGCGCGTTCGCCGACGCCGCGACAAAAGCCCGTTCGCAGCCCCTTTTCTGTTCCGGGGGCGGCTTCCTGATCCAGCTGCCCGCAGACAGTCCAGCCTTCGGGGCGGCGACTGCTCGATGGGGGCGCGGGGCGCCGTCACGTGCGACACCTCGTGGCCCCAGGCTTGGAGGAGGGCCCTCCGTGAACTTCGTTTGGGCCGTCTCGTGGCTGTCTTGGCCTCCCGTGAGGCAGTTTTGCGGGTCCCTGGGTGCCCTCTTGGGCTTTTGGGGGGGCCCTCTCGGGCCCGTCCCGTGGCGCTCTTGGGTCGTTTTGGGGCCCGCTTGGGCCGTCTTGGAGCCCTCTTGGGCCGCCTTCTTAGGGCCCTTTCGGGGGACCGCTGCGGCCGTCCTGGTGTTCTCATGGTGGCCTATGGGGCCATTCGGGGCGACGGAAGCTCGAAACGGCGAGAACCCAAACCACATTGAAAAGCCATGTGGCCAAAAGCCACATTGATGGTTTTCTCCCTGAGGCCCTCTTGTGAGGCTCTTTGGGGGCTCTCTTGGGAGGTGTCGATTGCTTTGTGGGCCGCATCGAGCCCATCTCGGGCCGTCGTGAGGTCCCAGGAGGGGGCCGCCTTGAAGGCATCTTGGCTTCGGGAACGCGACTTTGCTGTATTTTACGAGAGGGTTGTGGCCTCGAGAGCGCAAGCCCGTCGTATTTTGCAAGGGGTTCTGGCCTCAGGAGGAGCGGGCGATGCGCGCACCTCGACGCTGCGAGAGGGGAGGGGTCAGAGTAAAGAAGCGGTGGCATTCTAGCACGCCCCAGCGCACCAAGGGGGCACGGTGACCGTCCAACCTGCGTGAAGCGACTTCCTAATTCACGTTTCGACCTCACGTCTACCTGGATAGCATTTTCGGGATGCAGAGAAATAGGAGGAAGAGGAGGAGGATGAGGAGGAAGCGTGCTGAGGGGGGGACGGAGGAGGGAGGCTGGCAGAGGAGGACAAGGAGGAGGAGGAGGAGGAGGAGGAGGAGGAGGAGGAGGACAAGAGGAAACCCAATATGCTTCAAAAGTGCTACCAGTCACACTTCTGTCCCACGTCCCCCCCCATAAGTCCATATCAGCGCGCAACTCGCTGCGCCGTGGCCTAGCGTTTGCTCCGACTGGCTCGCGCGTCCGCCGAGTCCCAGGAGGGGGCATGCCCCCGTTAGCCCCCGTTAGTAAGATTTCCAGGTGGGGCTGAACGGGTGGGGAGGGGCCGACTCGAGACCCGACGTCGGGGAGGGTATAGATCAGGCGATCGCCAACATGGATCCATGGGGGCGTGTATTAGCGACGGGTCCCGCTTCCCTGGGGAATCGCAGAAATCCGCCGCCGGACGAGGCGGCACTGGCCGCATGCTCGGGACGGCACCTCCCCCGGTCCATGAAGCTGGCGACCGCGCGCCAAATCCACGGATGGCTGATCCATGTCTGCGCGCCCCCGAGCAGAGCACGGGGGGGGGCCGGGAAGGAGGGAGCGGGGGAGGAGGAAGCAGGAGGGAGGCGGAGCTGCCACATCTCAGGAGTTGTGGTCCTTACCCCCTGGACGACCCATCGGCGTCGACACGCCTGTCGAGGGATCGTCGATGCAAGGGGCTCCTGGATGATGGTAAGGTGCGCAGCTCTCCAAATTGTGGCAAGCCGGTGGGGACGGGGGCGGATGGGGAGCGTAGGAATCAAGACCCCCAGACTGGTGAGGAGGGATGAGCGAGGAGAGAGGATCGAGGAGGAGGGGGGAGGAGGAGGAGGAGGAGGAGGAGGAGGAGGAGGAGGAGGAGGAGGAGGAGGAGGACCAGTGTAAACCCAACAAGAGTCATCAACGATCTTGGAACAAACCCTCCCACTATGCCCCTACAACGGTTCATTTCTATGAAGGGAACTGCCATGTTGGAAGGCAACCGTTTGAAGACCCTGAAGCATGCCAAAACATTGTTCTCGGGATTCCAACGCCACTGATCAACCTGACTGTTCCGTCTTGACAACCCTGAATCGTGCCAGAACGCCAGTCCTGGGACTTCAACACCGCGAATCAAGGTAACTGTTGCACCCGCATAATCCTGAACCCTTGCGAATCGCCATGTATGGTACGCTGATCATGGTAACCCGTGAAACTCTTGCACATGTGTAACAAGAATGTGCGCGGCGCTGAGGCGAGAGTCACATATTGAAAAGGAACCGCCCTCAATCCGTGCAGCTCTTGCAGATGCCTGAAACGAATGTGCGCTGCGCTCAGGCGAAAGCCATATTCTGAAAACGATTCGCCCACAATCCGTGAAACTCCTGCTTGAAATTGTTGCCAAGTTTTAAGCTTCGAAATCATACATGGAGGGGAAGTCTCATGCGAAACGCCTGGCCCGCCTCAAAAGCTGGCCTCGGGGTGCCACAGGGAGAAGTTATTTATAAGGACAAGGAACGGAGCACGGCGACGATGACGAGGGAAAGAGGAGGAGGAGGGATGAGGAGAAAGAAGAGAAGGAGGAGGAAGAAGGAAGGGGGGACGAGGGTGGACGAGGAGTGCGCCGCCGAGAGGCCAAGCGGGCCCAGCTCATCAACGAGATCAAGGGGCTGGTTCAGGCGGAAGGCTGCCCGTACCTTGTGCAGTGGTACGCGGGCTTCGCGAACGCTAACAACAATCTTCAGGTCAGCGTGGCCCTGGAGTTCATGAACCTTGGGAGCCTCGCCGACCTGAAAAAGAGGATATTGCTGACACGGAAGGAGAAAGAGGAGGAGGGAGGATTTGAGAATAGGTGGTTGAAGATGAACATGGGGAGAATGATGGAGGAATGAGGAGATGGAGGCTGGATGAGTGCATGGGAGGAGGAGGAGGAGGAGGAAGAGGAGGAGGAGGAGGAGGAGGGGGAGGAGGAGGAGGAGGAGGAGGAGGGGCTGGTAGGCATCGTGGATCGAGGCTGCGAGACGCCGTCGGAGGTCCAGCAGCCAGCGCACGGCAAGCGCAGAGCCCAGGATCTGCGGCGGTCTTCGGCGGAGGGCGAAGACAGAGAGGCTGCCCTCGGGGGCGGCCGTGTGGGGGTCGCGGGTGTCGCACCCCTGCCTCCGCCCCCCCCACCATCGGCAACGTCCGGCAGCATTCTTCACCCGAGGTGCCGCCCACGGTGCAGACGAACGCGAGCGAGTCCTAGGACAGGGGCTCGGAAACGACGGCCCCGAGCGCCGTCTCGTCCACGTTCAAGCCTTGCTCGCACAGGATGTGGCGCAAGTAGGCGGTCGCGGACACCCTCGAAGATCAAACGGTTGCATCGACATGAATTATCATAGGTCCGCGTGGACTTCTTGGACTGGCGCTGGACCTCCCTGGCGTTGCTTCCGGCGCCGCCTCTGGCGCTCTCCACGCGCCAGGGAGGGGAGCCCAGCACCGATCCACAGTTTCTGCTTGTGCAGTTTTCTGCTCCTCTGCACCAGCAGCCTCGGCCGCCATCAGGGCCGAGGGGGCCGCCGCCGACGCCACTGCAGGCGCAGCCTCTCCGGCAGGCGGGCTGCGCGCCCGCCTCGGCCGCTCCAGCCGCCGCCTGCACCAGCGCCGCGCACCAGGCCTCGTGTGATGCCGCCTCCGCTGCCGCTGCGGAGGCGCACCCGCCGAAGAGCCACCGGCGGGGATGTCGTCGTTGTCGCCGTCGGCGGGGGCGTCCTGCTTCGGGCCGGCAAGCGCTCGTCACCGAGCGCGTTCCGCTACTCGCAGAGGGCCCACTCGCGAACGTCCAAACAAAACACATGTTTTTTATTTGTGTTGTAGCGTAGAGCGCCCGCGGCGGATCCACGCCATTTGCGAGCAGTTCCTTTGCGAGTAGTGGAACGCGCTTGTCCATTCGGGCCAGCAAGCGCCAAGTGCACGCCAGCCACCATCGCCGCCCTCTCCGCCGCCGCCACCGCCTCCCCGCGCTCCTGGGCGCGCCCCGCCCGCTGCAAGCGAGTCGCTCTTGGCGTCTCGCCGACGGCGCCGCTCTCCCGCCGCGCCTCGTGGCGGAGGAGCGCCTTGCCAGAGCGGCAGCCGCAGATTTGCTGGGTTTCGTGTCGCCGGCTTGTCAAGCAGTGGCGAGACGTCCTGGCTCGCGTATAGGAATGAAAAAGGATGCTCAAAGAACCTCTTGTGGTCTCTTAGAACACTTCTGGCTCGGGCTGCCTTGTTTTAGCGCGTCAGCTTCATGTTCTAAGAAGATCGTTTTTGTTGTTTGAAACTGTTGTGTTCTAAGAACATGCCGTGGTAGACCAAAAGGAATGCCCCGACGGTCGGTTCCTGCTCAAGCTTGAGCGGTCGGCACGTTCAGCGTCGGCGCAGCAGCGTTGGTTGCGGTTGGAAACTGCACAGCGCGCAGCCGCTGCCACGGTAATTAACCGCCGCAGGGGCGCGCAGACCGCCGTCGCCACGAGGGGCGCGAGGTCAGCTCCTGCGGCCTAGGAAGCCCCTGCAGCCCACGCTCTTACCATCCCGAGACGGCCCCGCGCAGGCCTGCGATCGCTGGAGCCGAAATTGCTACGGATGAGGAGGGGCAGAAGGAGGGAGGGGGAGGGGGAGGAGGGAGCAGGCAGAAGGGAGTGGAATCAACAATGATAATACAACACGGGTCATTCAGGAGGAGGCGGAGGGAGTAGAGGAAAGGAAAGAGGAGGGATCAGGGAGATGGGAGGAGTGACAATGGGGTAAGGGGAGACGGAGACAGCGAACGAAGGGGACGAAGGATGAGCGTCAGGATGGCAAACGCGGGCCTCTCTGGCGCCCCCTCGGCCAACGTGGCGGCGATCAGCGCGCAGGTGACCCTCGGGCTCCACCACCTGCACTCGAAGAAGATCCTGCACAGAGGGGTCCTCAGAGTGCCTGGCTCTGGATCAGTGCTCGGTGGGACGGTTTCTGCTGCACATATATATATATATATATATATATATATGAGGCGTTCCAGAAAGGGCCGTGCCTTCGAGGATCGAAGGAGTTGCCATCTCTTCCGCGGCGGAAGGCCGGCGGAAGTAAAACGAGGCCGCCTCTGCCGGCGGAAGCTGGCGGAAGCCAGCGGAAGCTCGGCGAAAGGCGGCGGAAAGAAAAGATGCGCCTCCAAGAGATGAAAACGTTTTTGGGTTCAGGGCTCGCGAAATTGACCATACACTCTTTCCAAAAAGAGAAGCAACAACACGAACAAAAATGTCCACCCTATCTCGGGTATAGCCAGGACCCCAGGTAAGGGGACCTGGTTAGTGGTAGCCCCCCGGAGCCCCTAAATTGGCCAGAGTCAATAAACCAGGTCTGCCGTGACTGGTGTTTTTTTTCGGGTGACGGCAGTTCGGGAGGAACGGGGCGGGGGGGGCGTCCCCCAGTACACATCATTAAACCCATTAGACCAGGTCCCACTAAACTTAAGTCAGGCCTGTCCCTCTACAGGGGGGAGATAGAAGAGAAGTCAAAGTCTGAGGACTTTTTTTTGCTGTATTTTTGTTCGTTTTGGGATTTCTTGACTATTCTATAATTTTTCCCCCAAATCCCCCCTGTAGGGGGACAGGCCCGACCTAACACTAAACTCAGTTCTGCCACCGCCCGAACCTCCGAGGCTCGATCGGGATCGGGGCTGCGGATCGGGAATGGGGACCTCGAGGTCGGCTGGGCGCTCCGCGCCGGCGCCGCGGGCGGGGGTTCGCGATCGGGCCGCCCGGGCAGCCCAGATCTGGCGGGTCGAGTGTGGGAGAAGCCCTACCCCTAAGTCGGGCCTGTCCCCCCACAGGGGGATTTTCGACGAAAAATAAAATATGCTCCAAAAATACCCCCAAAGGTCAAAAAATATTCAGCAAATAGTCCCCAGACTATCTTTGGACTATTGTTGGATTATTTGGGGGATATTTTTTATTTTTCGTCGCAATTCCCCCTGTAGGGGGACAGGCCCGACTTAGCCCTACCCCTAACAAGACAATGAAGAGGTTGAGGTTAGGCCCCTGACCCTAATTAGACAGCGCAGCCTCCAGGCCGCGGGCGGGCAGCCGCGGGAGGGGCAGGGAGCATGAGGACTGCAGGCAAGTGGCCCTCGAGGGGGCCCTCGAATCATCGAGGATAAGCGAAGCCCAAATCCGAATACCACGATGAAGACGCAGGTAGCCTCACTGAGCTCCCCGTCCTTACATGAGGGATAACCAATCTGAGCGCTTTGGTTTGGCACATCTGCTGATAACATACCCTGGCCCTGATGCTGTGGGCCTCCTGGCTTAGGTCTGCTGCCGACGGGTCAGGGGTCCTTCAGGTATTAATCATTGGGGTGGGCTCTGGAGGAGATATCAAGCTGGAGAACATCCTCCACAACCACGAGGGCCGGGTCAAGCTCACGGACTTCGGTATTGCGAGGGACATGGACGCCACCCTCGCGGTCGCCGGCACGTTTGTGGGCACCGTGACGTACATGTCCCCAGAGAGGTTTGAAGACACAGCGGCATAAGCATGAGACGTCGGAGCCCTTCGCGCGGATCTCTTGGATCGGCGCTCGGTCTTTTTGGCGCGCTCCGCGCGCCAGGGAGGCCCAGCGCTGGTCCAAGAAATCCGCACACGTGTATGCACCTGTTATGTATATGCACATGTGACTTTTCAGGATGGAAAAACACATAAAAATACACAGACACAATTGATCGTCGATCCCCCAGAAAACATGCGGGAAAATATGGGAAGTGGTGGGGAAGACGAACATCCAACAAATATGGGAACATATGGGACATTGTTTTTATTTGTGTGTATTTATGAATGTGTGTGTCCTAGGGCCCCTTCATACTTGTTTGCTCATCCACAGGTGTATCGGGACTGACTACACGTTTATGCCAGTGGCCTGCGCCGTTCCGCCGGCCCCCCCAGGGAGTGAGTGCTAGGAGGTGGTCCTGGAAGTCATGTCTTGGCCAGGAGCCTCGCTGCGGCCTCTTGGGGGGTGCCTCTTCTGGTGCCTCTCTGGAGAACTCTCGGGGGCAGGCGGGAGGCTTTGGCGGGCCTCGTGGGGGGAGGAGGAGGAGGAGGAGGAGGAGGAGGAGGAGGAGGAGGAGGAGGAGGAGGAGGAGGAGGAGGAGGAGGAGGCTTCCTGGAGGCGTCTTGCAGGCCGGCCCCTCGGAGGGCCCTCGGCGGCCTCATGGGGGTCTCGAGGGGCCATCTTGGTGGGCACGGCGCGGAAGGTCAGTTCGTACTCCCCCTCGTGGGCTTTCGTGGAGCTCTCCTTGGGGCCCTCTCGGGGTTGTCTCGGGTTGTCTTTGGGGGCCCCTGGGGGCTGTCTTTGGGCCTTCGTGGGCCGTCTTGGGTCCTTTGTTGGAGGCATCATGGGCCGTCTTGGGACGATCTTGGGGGCCACTTGGGCCGTCGTGTTCGCTATCGAAGCTAAAACACGCGAGCGTGCTGAAACTATGAGTTTTTTCTTCCCCCGGAAATGGGATGATTTGGGCTTCTTGGGGCCCTCTCAGCGATCCTCTGGAGGCGCTTTGGGGCTGTCGTGGGGGTCTCGTGGGCCATCTTGAAGCCATCTTGGATCGTCGTGGGGCTACCCTGGGCCGTCATGACGCTCTCTTCGACCGACTTGGCGCTCTGTCTGGGCCCTGCTGGGCTGTCTCCGGGCGTCTTTGGGGCTCCGGAGGCCCCAGGGGTGCGTTGGCGAGCTCGTGCCGCATTCCCCCCCCCCACCCCAGAATGGCATCTTGGGCCCCAGGGGAGGGGGAAAGGGGGCAGCCAAATGTCTCACGCGCCTTTCCACCCCCCCCAGCAAGCAGGGGTCGGCGGATCTCGGACATCTGGAGTGTAGGTATGGTGTTGTACGAGCTCTCCACGGGCAGCTACCCCTTCAAAGACATCTCCTCCTTCCCGGCGCTCTTCGACCACCTGTGCGAGAAGCCCGAGCCGCGCCTGGATCCGGGCGCTTATCCTCCCGCGCAGTGCGAGTTCGTAGCCCTCTGCCTCACGCGCGACGTGGCGGTGCGCTGGGATTCTGAAAGGCTTCCTGGGCGGCGCGAACGCTGCGGGCGTGGTGCGAGGGGGGCGGCCTTACAGGAGGGCGGGGGGGCTTGGCATCGCTCGGGCTTTTCTCTTTCTCTCTCGGCGAGGACCATCGAGCAGCGCCGTGGATCACCTGGCCAGAAAAAAGAACGCACGAGACCGAAAAGTGCACTGGGAATCGGCGTCCGAGCAATGGCGAGGGGGGGGGGCATCGTGGATGGTGGGGGGGTCCTCTTTACGAGCGCGAGAGGGCGGTCTTCGAAGCCAGGCGGGCTTCTGGGAGGCCACCTTCCCTCTCAGAAGGCCCCCCCCCCGTCGCCTCCTCAGGGCCAGGCCGGCCTGGGACGAGGACAGATCGCACCTCAAGGCGCCCAGAGGAGCGCCTTCAGAGCGCTCCGGAAGACTCGGGAGCCCGCCGCGGCGTCCGATGCATCTTCCGCAGAGATCGCCCAGGGCTGGGCCTGAACGCTCTTTTGCTGGACTTCGGCTGTGTTCAGTTTTTCGTTGTGGCAGGGAGACACAGGAAAAAACAGGTAGAGCAAAACGAAAAGCAGAACGACACCAAAACGAAGGACAACGTGCAAGTCCAGCCCTGACATCGCCAGTCTTGGCATCGCTCGGACGTGTGCATTCCTTCTCGGCGGGGACCATCGCAGAGCATCCTGGGCCATCGAGCAAGAAAGCTGCGCACAAAAAACCCAACAGCGCACAGGGAGTGGACGTCCGAGCGACGGCAAGCAGTGCTCAGAGAGAGCTTCCCGCTCTGCGGTCCGGGAGTCGCGGGCGGCGTGCCACTCCGCAGGTGCTGGTCCACCGCGCCTCGGCGCGACGCGCGCCTCCCGTGCCCGCGGCCCCCGGGCGTCCGCGGCCCGAGCGCCTCCCCGCGCCTCCTCCTCCTCCCCGTGGAGCGGTGCGGCACGGCCTCCGCCCTCGGGGCGGCGAGAGCGTCGCCGGGGCCGCCGCCGCCGCGGCGCGCCGAGCGAGAGCTCCCGCCCGTGCCCATCGGTCGTGGAACGCAGAAGTATGCCTGGACTCCCAGGGTCCGGTCTGCTCGGAGCGCCTTCCTGCTCCCGTGATCGGGCGGCTTCACCCTTGCCGTCCTCCTCGGGGGGCGGGCGGGACCCAATCTGCTTTCAGCGCCTTCCTGCTTCATGTTTCTGCCTGCCTCTTCCGACCGATGGGCATCCCCATGTGATCGTTTTCCTATTCACTGATTTGCCGATCGGCGCGGGCCCTCGAGCCCCCCCTCCATGAAGCAGATCTTGGCCATTTTGGGCGACTGTTTCGAGCAGGTGCGCCCACTCAGGCCGCCTGAGGCCCCGCCTTCCTGTGCCCTGTCTCCCTAATTAAAGCTGTGCGTAGCCCGCCTAGCTTTTAGCGGAAGAGGTTCGCCCTCGCCCCGCAGATCAAAAAAAAACTGTTTCGAGCAGGTGGAGCCTCCCTCATAGGACGCACTACTGCAAACGGTCACACTCAGCAGAGGGCCGGGCTCGGACACCCCCCTTCCCTCCCCCATCCCTTCCGCCCGCTGTCGAAGCGCCGACTGGGAAAACGCTCTCGACCGTATCCTCATCCAGATTTTGTCATCCTGGCTTCGTTCGTCCGATAGGAGGCCGCCCCCCTCACGCCACCCCCGTGTGCGGGCCGCCAGAGGCTGCTCTCCCACAGCTTCGTGGCCGGGTTCACGGAGGCCGACGAGCAGAACCTCGCGGAGTTCTTCGCGAGCCTGCAGCCCCCGTGACTTCCTCTGCCCTCCTCCTCCGCAGCCCTCCTGCGCCTTCCTCGTCGGTAGCAAACAATGGGAGCATTGCTGACCCTCGTAATTGTAAGTCTAGCGTCGATTAGCGTCGATCAGCATCTGCGAGTCGATGAGGTAGCGCCGATCTAGCGTCGGTTAGCGTCGATCTAGCGTCGATGAGCGTCGATTTAGTGTCGATTTAGCGTCGTTTAGCATCGATTCGCAAGAGTCGGCAAGATGGTATGGGATGCTCCCATGAGTTGCCACTGAACTCTGCCCTCCTTCTCTTCCGCGCACCTCTTGCGCCTTCCTCCTCGTTACCACAGCCGGCACGGGTGTTAAGAACGACCCCTGGCTTTGGATCGGGACAATCGGCATGGGTACCGAAATAATGGGTTCTATGCCCAGCAGCAGTTCCTGATCATTTTTTGATAGGACTCGATGTCCGCGACGCCGTGGACGGTGTTCAATGAAGGCTAAATGCCACCTGCCCAACCGCGGCCGCTGTCGGTGTTGGACAGTATTTGTTGTTGGGCATTGTGCCATTTTTTCCGAATCCATGTCTGGAGTCCAAATTGGAGAGATACCCGTGCGTGCTTCTCGTCTGGGTGCTTCACCTTGACATGAGGCGTTCCAACAAATGCCCCGCCTTCGAGAATCGAAGGAGTTGCCATGTCTTCCTTGGCAGGAGGCGGCGGAAGGTCGGCAGAGGGTGGCGAAAGCAAAATGAGGCCGCCTGCGATGGCGGAAGGCACGCGGAAACCAGCGGAAGTAAAAGTCGGCATCCCAGGAGATGTCGGGCGGGTGGTGCGGGGGGGGTGACCTAAATGGGGGGGGGGGGGGGAGAAAAGGGCTCTAAAAGGGAGCGTTTTCGGGCCCCTTTTGGAGCCAGCAGGGGCCCTAGAGTAGGGGAACGAAAACTGACGAAAGCATGAAAACTCGGAGGTCCGCGCGGATTTCCTGGATCTGCGCTGGACCCCCGAGGCGCCGCCAGGGGGGGTCCAGCGCGGATCCGAGAAATCCGCGCGGACCTCCGAGTTTTTATGTTTATGCCATTTTTCATTCCCACATAGAGGGGCCCTAAAGTGTCCCTTTAGGGCCAACTTCCTCACCCCCCCATGTGGGCCACCCCCCCGTACCACCCGCCGGAGGAGGAGGAAGAGGAGAGGAGGAGGAGGAGAAGGAGGAGGCGGAGGTGGAGGTGGAGGAGGAGGATGGAGGAGGGGAGGAGGAGAGGAGGGAGGAGGAGGAGGGAGGAGGAGGAGGAGGGAGGAGGAGGAGGAGGAGGAGGAGGAGGAGGAGGAGGAGGAGGAGGGAGGAGGAGGAGGAGGAGGAGGAGCAGGAGGAGGAAGAGGAAAGGTTTGTTGGTTCAGGGTTTCTCCTCCCCACTTCGAGCTCTCCCCCGTTCGCGCCCCCCCCTGTCCTACCTCTTCGTCCCCTCCCATCCTGCGTTCCCTCTCCTCCCTCCTCCTTTTCCTCCCCTCCCTCTCCTTTTCCTCTCCTCCCCCCTCTTTCTCCTCTCCTTTCCCTCTCCTACTCCTCGTCCCCTCCCATCCTGCTTTCCTCTCCTCCCTCCTCCTTTTCTAGGGGAACAAAGAGTGACATAAACATAAAAACTCAGAGGTCCGCGCGGATTTCTGGGATCGGCGCCGGGGCCCCCCGGCGCACCAGGGGCGGCGCCGCGCCGGAGGCGCCGCCGGGGGGCCCCAGCGCCGATCCCAGAAATCCGCGCGGACCTCTGAGTTTTTATGTTTATGTCACTCTTTGTTCCCCTATGTTCCTTTCCTCCAGCCCACATGTCCCTGGAGGTGTCTGGGTGCACCCCGAAGTCTCCAGGCTGGGGGTCTCCAGAAGTCCATGGCGGCTTTCCTGGGGCCTGCGTAGGCCCCCAAAGCGCCGAAGCGTCCACATGCCTCGCTCCTGACACCTCAGCCCTCGATTCCTTACTCCTGCTACTCTTAAGTCGGGCACGTCCCTCCACAGGAGGAAGATTTCCAAACTGATTAAACAAAATGTGATGGGGACCATTGCCGAGCTGTTTTCGAATATTTTTGAGTGGCTGTTGATTCTATGTCATAGTTCTTCCCAAGCCCGCCTGTAGGAAGACATGCCTCACCGAGCGCGTTCCACTACTCGCAAAGTGCCTACTCGCAAACGCCCGAAAAAACACGTGGCTGCGATGTAATTTACTGCAGATCCCCCGCGGCGAGTCCAGGCCATTTGCGAGCAGGTACTTTGCGAGTCGTGGAACGCGCTCGCCCAAAGCCCCCCCGACCTGACACTGCTCCCCCCGTCCTCCCAGGATGGGGCGCTCGCTCCTGGTAGGGCGCCGTCGCCATCCGGCGCGCGCAGCCCGGTGCCTCGCGGGCCTTCCCGGGAGAACGCTGGCCTTGGTGGAGTCGCGCGCCCCCAAAAGTTGGGCACCCTGCAGAGGGGGGAGGAGGAGCGCAGAGGATGGTCACGGGATCATGAGGATGGCGAGGAGTGGCGAGGAGCAACGAGGAGCAACGAGGAGCCACGAGGAGCAGCGAGGAGCCACGAGGAGCAGCGAGGAGCAACGAGGAGCAACGAGGAGCCACGAGGAGCAACGAGGAGCAACGAGGAGCAGCGAGGAGCACGAGGAGCAGCGAGGAGTAACGAGGAGTAACGAGGAGTAGCGAGGACAACGAGGAGTAGCGAGGATGACGTGGAGTAGCGAGGATAGCGAGGAGTAACGTGCCCCCCCTTGCCACTGCAGTCAGGAGCTCGTGCTTCGCGTGTCGCGCCGCCGCTTCTGGCCCACGGCGCCGTCCGTGCGGCACGCTATATCCATGCCGCAGCCCCCGAGCAGCAGCCAAACGCCCCGAGCGTTATGTCGGGCGTGTCCCCCTACAGGAGGTGTATTCAAACATAGTCAAACAAACAGTCAGGGTACGATCTGTTTTTTGTTTTTTTGTAAAAACAAAAACAAAAAAAAACATGTCTTGGCATCTCTGCGTTTTGAATATTTGATAACTTATCGTCCAAAATCCGCCTGCAGGGGGAAATGCCCGATCTAACCCGAGCGTCTTCCAGCCCCCCCCCCGCCCCGCGAGCCGGAGCGGCGCGCTGTCCGCTCGCAGGGCACAGCACAGCGTGTCGCCAGTGTTGAGTCGGGCACGTCCTTGTGCAGGAGGAAAATTCAACAATAGTCAGAAATAATGTGGGGACGATTTTTCTACCATTTTGGGCTATACTTGATTTGTTTTGCTTAATGTTTGTAAAATGTTCCGTCCAGCGTTCGCCTGTAGGAGGGCACGCCCGACCTGAAGCGTGTGCTGTTCTCTTCGTGCCCGCTGTGGGGTCTGAGCCCATTCCAGCAGCCAGGGCTGGCCCAGCTGCACAACGGAGGGGCTTGATGTCGGCGTCCCCCCCAGCATACTTATACGATGTGTTCGTCGCCCCCCCGAGGGCGACGCGCGCACCGAGAATTCTCATAGCATATGCGTCGTGGCGGGCGCTCTCTGGCCGCACCGCTCGAGAAACGATCTACTACAAGATGGGTACACTATATGTTCGGGTCGGACGCGCGCCTCCAAGGAGGACCCCCTTGTTTTAATGTAGTGCTATAAAGGTTAAAACAGGGTAGAAATCGGATCCGCCGTAAAAATTAAGACCGGACACGGATCAAGGATAATCCGAAATCGGATCCGCACGGACGGAAATCGGATCCACCGAAGCAAAAACCAAAACCACATTCGTACCCGCGCGAACTTCATGGCATCCGACGGCGGTCGTCTCACACGGGTCTGCTCAAGACTTCACACCGCCGTTCCGGGCCCAAGAGGGAAAACTAATTCGTCCTGGGGATGTAGCGTTCTTCTCCTTATTATCATTCGTATTTTACTATCAATTGTCTGATTAGTATTACGGTCATTATTATCATTGATATTATTAATGTTCTTACGATCATTCATATTGTTATCATGTTGTTATTTCCTATGTTTCATTATTCGTAATATATATATATATGTGTATATATATACACATGTGTATATATATATATATGTGTGGTCGCCCCCCCCAGCGCCCCCCACACCACCAAAACAACAAATCAATCATTAATCGCTTGCTCCTTCTCATCCTCCTCCTCTTCATCCTCCTCCTCTTCCTCCTCCTCCTCCTCCTCATCCATCTGCACCTCCTCCTGCTCCCCACAATAAACACCCCAAGCAACAAACATACACAGCGTTTGGCGCCCTCGATGCAAGGAAATGCTGTGTATTCTTGTTTTTGTTAGTTTTTTGGGTTTGAGGATCAACGAAACACTTTGTATGTGTTTTTTTTTTGGGGGGGGGGGGGGGGGGTTGGAGGCCCCATGCTCGCAGCGGCCTCCCTACCACCACCCTTCTGCCTCCCAACTGATAACACCAAAAAAAAACATACATACACAGTGTTTGGCGCCCTCGATGCAAGGAAATGCTGTGTATTTGTTGTTGTGTTTTTGTTTTTTTGGGTCTGAGGATCAACGAAACACTGTGTATTTTTGGTGTGTGTGTTTGTTTTTTTTGTTTTGGAGGCCCCATGCTCGCAGAGGCCTCGGCGAACATGGGGCTTCTAAAACCAAAAAAACACGAAACAACACAAAATGCACAGTGTTTCGTTGATCCTCAGACCCAAAAACCAACAAGCAGCATAACTACACAGCATTTCCTTGCATCGAGGGCGCGAACCACTGTTTTTTTTTGTTTTGGTGTTTTATTTTGGGAAGCAGAAGGGTGCTGGTAGGGAGGCCGCGGCGAGCATGGGGCTCTTAAAACCCCAAAAAGCAAACACACAAAAATACACAATGTTTCGTTGATCCTCAGACGACCCCCCCCCCCCCCAAAAAAAACAGCATTTCCTTGCATCGAGGACACCACACAATGTGTATGTTTGGTTTTTGGGTTTTTTTTTTTTAGTTTGGGAAGCAGAAGGGTGCTGGTGGGGAGGCCGCTGCGAGCACGGGGCTTCCAAAACCAAAAAAACCAAACAAACCAAACATACGCAGTGTTCCGTTGATTCGCAGACCCACCCCCACCCCCCCCGCAAAAAAAATTGTGCATCGAGGGCGCCAAACATTTTTCACATATATATATATATATATATATATTGGGAAGCAGAAGGGTGCTGGTAGGGAGGCCGCGGCGAACATGGGGCCTCCAAAACCAAACAAAACCAAAAAAACAACTACACAGTGTTTCGTTGATCCTCAGACAAAAAAACAAAAGCAAACACAACCATGTCCTTGCATCGAGGGCACCAAACACTGTTTTTTTTTTTTTTGGTTTTATGATGTGGGAAGCAGAAGGGTGCTGGTAGGGAGGCAGCTGCGAGCATGTGGCCTCCAAACCCTAAAAACAAAAAACACAGTGTTTCGTTGATCCTCAAACCCAAAAAATAAAATAAAAAGCGTGTCCTTGCATCGAGGGCGCCAAACACTTTGTATTTTTGTTTTTTTGTTAGGTTTTTATTTTGGGGAGCAGAAGGATGCTGGTAGGGAGGCCGCGGCGAGCATAGGGGATGGACGGCTTGCCCGTGGATCCCCAAGTGAACGCTTTGTTATCACAGTGAAGCACCATGGCTGGTCTGTGCTGACGGCGGTGGTCGTAGTGGGTGGCGTGCCACGTAAAGCTTGAAACCAAAGGCGGCTATAGGAGGAGCCTGCCGAAAGCAGAAACATCGGCAACGTAAGAATCCAAACGAACACAAGTAAGTACATCATGCAAGGATGTGCGCGGAGCGTGAAGCTCGTCCTCCGTCTCCCATCATCATCTTTATCATGATCGTCATCATGCTCATCATCTTCATCGTCGCCATTGCCGTCGTCATCGTCATTGCGATTACGTTCGCACGCGTACTCGTACTCGTACTTGTCCTCGTCATCATCATCATCATCATCATCATCATCATCATCATCATCATCATCATCATCATCATCATCATCATCATCATGAGCATTGTCGTCGTCGTTTCTCCGTCTACCTCCGCTCCTCCTCCTCCTCCTCCCCTCACTTTCTTTTTTCCACATCCGAATCCTCTCGCCCTCAGCGTCCTCCTCCCAATGGGGTGGAGGCATGAGGGCCCTGCCACTGAGGCCTTCGGTAAAGCTCCATATGGAGCACTTTACTGTTGAGAGGAGCGGCATGCAACGTCTCCCATTGGGGCCTGCGGTAGAACTCACAACGAAGACATGATGATGGAGGGGCGTGAGGATAAGAATGAGGAAAACAAGCATTTACGATCATTCAAACGGAATGCTGGTGGGGAGGGGATGTGGGTGGAGGCAGGGTTATGACGGAGAGAAGGGACAAGCGTATCATGAGAGGGAGCAGGAGGAAGATGAGCAGGAAGAGGAGAAAGATGATCGTTGGGGGGCGCTGGGGGGGGGGGGGCGAGCATACATATATATATATATATATATATATATGTATGAGGAGGAGGAGGAGGAGGAGGAGGAGGAGGAGGAGGAGACGAGGAGGAGAAGAACATTCAGGAGCACGGGGGCGACCGCCCGTGCGGGGGCGAGAAAGCGGACGAGAGCCGGGAGGGTGATGGCGCGGATGCGCAGGGAAGCCCGCTGCCCGCCGCCCCCCCCCTGTGATCCTCACCACTTCGTCGATTCGAGGAACAAACAGCTGCAGAAGCATGAACTCCTGGAGGTCCGCGCGGATCTCTCGGATCGGATCGGCGCCAGGGAGGGGAGAGGCCAGCGCCGATGGCAGAAGTCTTCGCGGGCATCCCACAGTTCATGTTTATATACCATGCCTCGTTCCTCTGACCCCCGCCCGCCGCCCCCCCCCCCGCCGTTAGCCTGACCTCGTCGTTGGTGCAAGTCTGGCGGGCGGCACGTGCTCCTGTGCCAGTGTGAGACGGATCCCCACCGCCGTCACTGGCATCGCCGAGGCTCCCCGGATAGTGAGAAGAAGAAGAAGGCCTTCTCAGAAGGCGGCGGGACTTCTCAGAAGCCCTCCGGTCTTCTGCGAGGTTTTGAGAAGTTGCTTGTGTCTTCGGGGAAGGCTTAGATTATTTCTCAGAAGGCCGGGGGACTTCCGAGCCTTCTGAGAAGGCCTTCTCCTTCTCACTTCCCCCTGGGCTCGCCGCAAAGGATAGGGTTAAGTTCGAGGTTGGTTACTCATGGTGAGCCTTGTGCAGCGTCGCGTGCTGAATCGTGCGGAGCAGCGCAAAGGGCCAGGTTCTCGCCCAGCCCCCCTCCCACCCCGGAACACCTGGATGATCGCGAACACTGGACACTTTGTGCAGTTCGGAGGTGGATCGACCTCCTACGCTGACACGTCGATTGAGGAATTGGCCGTTTTCGGTTCACGAGAGGCCGTCGCGGCCGCCATTTTTGCGGGTCCAGGTCCGTCGGTTTCGGTCCCAGGCCGTTTTCACTAAGGGGAGGTTTGCTAAAGGGAGGTTTGTCCACCGCCGAGCAGTGGGACGTCTGTCAAGGGAGGAAAAGCCACCCGGACCCGATCATTGGCGTTTGCTAAACGGCCCTGGGCGCTTAATGATCAGCCCTGCCCCGTTTGATTCCTTCTGTGGGCGCGCTTCCTAGAATGCTTCGCGTGTCGTGGTGATTCTTACGGGGGTGGATGTCCTGCCCTCTCCGGAGGGGCGCCGACAGTACACCACCACCACCAGCAGTCCTGGCCAGGGCCATCCTGGGCCCTGGACTGGTGCATAGACCTCCAGGCCTGGGCCAGGAGGGCCTGTACAGTCAACGCGCCTAGTAAGGACGCGCGCCTTCATCTAGGATACCTTGCCTCTGTGGCCCGTCCTTTGCCGTTTTCACTGGTCGCCGCCGCCCAAAAAATCCCAACTTCAGCCTCCACGAGTCTTGCGTCCTTACCACGCGTCCTTAATATACGTTTTGACTGTACACCAGTGCAGGGCCAAGGATGGGCCTGGCCAGGACTGGTGGTGGTGTATTGCTTCGAGCTGTCCTGCCTCTTCTGCCCGGGGCCGCAGGAGAAGACGTGGCTGCGTGCGCCGAGCCCGCTCGGCACGCCAGCGCGCCGAGGTTTCAGTCGGGCCTGTCCCTCTCCGGGGGGGAAATTTAAGAATAGTACACAAAAATAGCCTGGGGACGATTTTTGGAGCATGTTTTGACCATGTTGGGGTATTGTTGGGGTATTTCTAATGTCTCGTCCAAAATCCCCTTGCAGAGGGACAGGCCCGACCTAAGCCGAGGCGCACCGACGTCCTCGGGAGGCGCGCCCCTCGTGAGCGAGCGCTCTCGAGAGGGGGCCGCGGCCGATGCGTGCAGGCCGCGAGAGGACGCGCACGGCGGGCATGCTGCCCGCCCGGCCTCCTGCGCCCTGGCGCCGCGCGCAGGGCCGCGACGCCAAACGAGTGTGTGCGTTTGTGTGTGTGTGTGGCCGTGTGTGTGGCCGTGTGTGTGTGTGTCCGTGTGTGTCCGTGTGTGTCCGTGTGTGTCGGTGTGTGTCTGTGTGTCTGTGTGTGTCTGTGTGTGTGTGTGTGTGTTTGCGTGCGAGTCTGTGCGCGAGTCTCTCTGTCTGTCTGTCTGTCTGTCTGTCTGTCTGTCTGTCTGTCTGTCTGTCTGTCTGTCTGTCTGTCTGTCTGTCTGTGTCTGTGTCTGCCCCGCGCCCCCCCGGGGGCGCGGGGCGCCCGCGCCGCCCGCGCCCCGCCGGGGCCGCTCGGCGGACAGGGCGGGGGGGCCCACAGGCGGCCGAGGAGGGCGCCGCGGAGCTCGTGAGCGACCGGCCCGAGTCGCAGGCGCGGAGCGGGGCGCGGCCCCCCTCGGGGGCTCGAGGGCTCGATCGAGGGCTCGATCGAGGGCTCGATCGAGGGCTCGAGGGATCGAGGGTGGGTCGCAGATGGGGGGTCGAGGGTCGGCCGAGGAGCGGGGCTCGATGGAGGGCGGAGGAGCGATCCAGGGTGGAGGGTCCAGGTCTGGTCCAGGGTCGTTCTCTGTTGTCCTCCTCCCTCCTCCTCCTCCTCCTCCTCCTCCTCCTCTTCCTCCTCCTCCTCGAGTCGAGTCGAGTCGAGTCGAGTCGAGTCGAGTCGAGTAGCTAAAGACGTCTGTCTTGGCCGCCTATATTTCTCCTCCTCATCCTCCTCCTCCTCCTCCTCCTCCTCCTCCTCTCTCCTCCTCCCTCCTCCTTCTCCTCCTTCTCCTCCTCTCCTCCTCATCTCTCCTCTCCTCCTCCTCCTCCTCCTCCTCCTCCTCCTCCTCCTCCTCTTCCTCTCCTCCTTTCCTCCTCCTCCTCCTCCTCCTCTCCTCCTCATCATCCATCATCATCATTCATCATCATCATCATCATCATCATCATCATCATCATCATCATCATCATCATCATCATCATCATTATCATCATCATCATCATCATCATCATCATCATCATCATCATCATCATCATCATCATCATTAGCATTCCCTTTAAGTACTTGCTTGCGTTGTGGTCAGTGCGTCGCCAAAGGATGAAGACCACGGTACGAACAGCGCGCGGCTTCCAAGCTACTGGAGCGCTCGGCCGACACGTCTCCTCCTCGTCCTCCTCCTCCTCCTCCTCCTCATCATCCTCATCCTCATCCTCATCCTCCTCATCCCCTCCTCCTCCTCCTCCTCCTCCTCCTCCTCCTCCTCCTCCTCCTCCTCCTCCTCCTCCTCCTCCTCCTCCCCCTCCTCCTCCTCCTCCTCCTCCTCCTCCTCCTCCTCCTCCTCCTCCTGGGGCGGGTGGCGCTGCAGGCGTTGCCTCATACTGCCCCCCTTTTATGTTGCAGCAGATGTTCCGAGAAGCTCCGCGCTCTCGCCGAGGGGGGCAGGGCCGGGGGGCTCACGCCCCTCGTGGGCCCCTCCTCCTCCTGGCCTGAAGTCGGGCCTGTCCCCCTACAGGGAGATTTTCGACGAAAAATGCAAAATACCTCAAATATACCCCAAAAAGGTTTTAAAAACAAAAAACAAAAAAACTAGTCCCCACTATTTTTGGGATTATTGTTTGGGTATTGTTTTTTATTTTTCGTCGAAAATCCCCCTGTAGGGGGACAGGCCCGACTTAATCCTGGCCTCCCCCCACCCCGCGGCAGCGACAACCCGCCCCCGATGGCATCAGGGGCAACGTCCCGGGGGGGGGGGGGGGGGGAACGTCCCGAGCTTCCTCGAGGTTTCCGGGCGTTGTCGTGCGGCGGCGTTACAGCCTCGGGGTGCCGTCCAGCTTCGTGGACGACGGCCAATGGAGAGGGAGCACGCTGCCATGTGATTTCCAGATGTTTAAACGTTGCTTCAACCATATCTTGAGCATGTGAAGCACATGTGCTAACATGTGTAGAACATGTGCCAAACAGTTTAAACACCTGTTTGACTTCAATGATCGGATTGTCAGGGTGTCCACTGCCGTGGCATCCACAATTCCAGCGGCTGTGCCTCGCCGAGGGAGTGCTGGGTGTGTCCAGATCGTCCCGTACGGCCGCCAGCGGTCCGAGCCATGAACCGAAAACTACCGGGAAATAGTGTAATCTTTGCTCGGGGGTGGCACGCATCGACCCCCCAATGCCCACTGATCACCGCTGGGGGCTCGACAGCCGCCCCCGTCCAGGAGCGTGCGGCTTCGCAAGCAGGGGCCTCTGTGGCCCATGTGTCGGCGCTGTGTCGCCGACTCCGGGCCGCTGTTCCCCCTCGACTGGCCGCCCGGCGGACTCCGCCCGACCCCGCCGCCCTTGCTGCTCCATCCTGGCCGTGCTCCTCGATTTCGGCCTGCAGTCGGGGCCCTGAGGAAGGAACCCTTAATCAAGTGTTTCGCAGCTTGCCTCAGGTTTTCCTTATGTTTTCGACAGGAAATCGAAGGTTAACGTATGGAAGAAAAGGGCCTCGTTCCTTATTTTGGGTTCCTTAGGTCAACGCCCCGACGGTATGGGGCCCGCTATCGCGGCCCAGGGCCATCGGAAAGGGACCCAGGACGCAACAAGTGCCCCCACGGAAAGGCCCGGGAGATCTGCACCTCGGAGGATGTCTGGGATTGTGCTCAGGAGGGAAAGAAACGCACAGACACAATTAATCGTCGACTCCCCAGAAAATATAGGAAAATATGGGAAGTGGGGGGAAGACAGAAACCCAGAAAATATAGGAAAATATAGGGGAATATTTTTATTTGTGTGTGTGTGTTTATTTGTGTGTCCTGGGGCCCCTTCATGTGCTTAAGAAGCCGGCGCCTTCGCCTGGCTTCGGGGCCTGTGGTTCTCGCGGAACGATTCGGCTCGAGAGACGTCGCAGGGAGCTGGGGTCTACATGACTCTGGTCGTCATCTGTCATGAAACTGCACTGTTTTCGCGACGTCGGATCCCAGGGACTCCGCCACGAGTTCATACAAAGCACAAGCGGAAGTCACGGGAAGCGCAAGTCAGGCGAATGATGACCAACAGCATATGTCTGAAACAGATAGGTTGTGAAAAATGCGCACCCAAAAGACATCACCGCGAAAACTCGCGGGTCTGGACTGCCTCGGACTCTGCCTTCCCATACGCGCCTCCAAGGGAGTCCGAGCCCCCAGCGGGCCGCCCGGCGGGGCTGACCCGGTCTGTCTGGCAAGGTTTAAGTCGGGCTTGTCCCGCTACAGGGGGAATATTCAGAAGTGGGAAAAAAGTTAGGGAGCATTTTTTTGATTATTTGTTGGCAATTTGGGAGTATGTTTGGGGTATTGTTTTATTTTTCGTCGAAGATCCCTTTGTAGGGGGACACGCCCGACCTAAGGCAAGGTGCTCCGCTCAGGGGGACAGGTCGCCACGAACGAAAGGTGTGCATAGTTCAGGCAGTGGCGAAGCGCCCTGGCGTGCCTACAGCCCTACCAAGCAATGTTCTGAGAACCCTTTTGTGGTTTCCACGAGAATGTTCTTAGAACATGCTTTGCTGGCAGCGTCCTGTGTTAAAGCATCGCGCTCATGTTCTAAGAACATCGCTATTGTTCCTAGAACATTTTTGAGTTCTAGGAACATTTCGCGGTAGGACTATATCAGGAGGGGAAAAACACACAGACACAATTCTTCGTCGATTCCCAGGAAAATATTGGAAAACATGGGAAATGGGGGGGAAGACAAAAACTTTGAACATAGGGAAAATATAGGGAATATCGTTATTTGTGTGTCCTTGGGCCCCTTGACTATAGGAATGCTGGGACGGTCGGCCCCTGCTCAAACATGGAAGCGGCCCCTAGTACCTGGACCTCCCCGGGTGCCCCCCCCAGGACCGGTTCTTGAACCCGGGCCATCTTTGATCGGGGGCGGCAGAGAGGGGGGTGATGACTAGGGGGCGGGGGCTATCATGGCGCGGGCCATGACATCTCTCCAGATTTCATGGCGCTTCTTCTTATTTCATTACGTCCCTGGTCCCCCCGCTGGGCCGCGCACATGCCGCCGGTCATGATTTGCACCCCCCCCTCTTGGACACCCCCCTCTTGGCCGCTCCCGATTTGACGGTGCCGAGCACGTGGATGCCCACCAGATTCCGAAGAGAGGGAACCAGCACCAGGCATTGAGAGAGCGCCCACCCCGACAAGCCGGCGGAGGAGATCTGCGCTGGTTCATTCGACATGGGCATTCGAGATCACTGGAGCAGTCCCCAGTGGGTGTTGCTAATCGGCGTGCCTATCGCTGGATACGGTCCGCTGTTTTTGGACGCCGATCAGCTCCCCCCGCTTGGGTCCACCTGGAGTGCGGTGCCGTGCGCGCGTGGAGTGCCCCTGGCAGCCTTCACTAATTCACGTGCGCTTTGCTGAAGGGTTGGTCTGTCAACCTTCGACAAAATCATCCAGGACCCGCTCGCCTATGAGGAAGAGCCTGGAGGCCTCGCGCTGCGCGCTGCACTTGTACTATCGGGTCCACAGGCCCGCCCCGTATAAGCTTTCGGTCCACGTTCGCGGCGCGGCGTTGCTCCGACGTTGGTCCGGCGTGAAGCCGCTGTCATTCCGACGTGGATCCGATGCACCTCTGACGAATGCCCGACGTGGACCCGACGTACGCGGGGTCTCAAGTTGGCCCGCGAGGCCTCCAGGATTTCCCCTCGTAACATCACGTCCCTGCATGGCCCGCGCATGCCAAGGGGTTGTGGGAAGGAGGAGCGACACCGCCACCGCGGGGGCCACCTCCAGCGAGGAGGTCCACGATGTCTACCCGAGCTAGGGGCAGGGGATACCTCAAGCGAGAGCGGGGGGCCACCTCACCAGGGGGACCCCCCCTGGCCCTCCCTCCGCTGGTTGCCCCTGGTGGTCGTGGGGGTGCCGCTCTTCCTCGGCCCTACAGGCGAAACCGACAGGAAAGATGGGTAACCTTCCCAAGGGTACCCCTGCCTCCGTGCCTCTTTGGTCCGTCCTTGGCTGCGTCGCTGCGTTCGACGGCCCGTTGTACTCGAAGAAACTTCAACACACGCGTCTAAGGGGCCTGCATCCTTACTGCGCATCCTTACAGTGGGAACCCATACCAAGAAACATCCTGCTTGTCTCCAGGGTGCCCCGGGTTTCGGGGGTTTCGACGGCTCTGCTATGGAAATCGTGAGCGCTCCCGCACCAGAAACCAGCGGACGTCCTGGGGTCTCAGGACTGGGCTTCTTGTGGAATGTGTCTTGTGCTCGAGCTCCTACTGCACTCGGACCCCATCTGGCAGGCCTAGGCCGGGCTCCCGAACCCGAGAGGAGGAGGAGGAGGAGGAGGAGGAGGAGGAGGAGGAGGAGGAGGAGGAGGAGGAGGAGCAACGTAGCCATTTTGGCTCAAGCCATTTTGGCTCAAGGG